GAAGCCCCCCCAAGGGGAAAAGCAAGGGCGGGGATGGGGGACCTGGGGGCGAAGCCCCCGGGTGGGGGGTTGGGGGGGCGAAGCCCCCCCATAATAACAAAACTAGTTTTATTAACAAAGAAAATAATAAAACTAATGGCTCGTGTGATAAAACGAGGTGATAAATAAATAGCTCAGAGGCCGAACAGGATGATAGTGTCCATACATTAATTTCAATTATAAAATTGTGTATACGTTTCGGTCCTTATTGGACCATCTTCGGTACAGGAAAGATAGATGAAACAAACGGATTCGTAAGTTGGACATGCACAAGAAGCGCGCAGTCACAGTCGAAGATGGAAATATCGCATAAATGTGTTGGTTTCGTGACATTAATGTAGATTAATACTCGAAACAAATACAGATCGATAGACGGTAACGGTATAAAACGCGTCAATAAAAGCTCGTAAAATGTATATTGGAAAATAAAATGGAATATGTATACGCTAGAACAAAGTTGAATTTATTAACCTTTTGAGTCGGTTGATACAATCGTTGACAAAATAAAGGCATTCATAAAAACACCGCTTCGCGTATCATTTTTATATCGTTGGTCATTCGACGCGCAAACAGTTGTGTACACACAAGTTTCCTGCATCAAATAAGAATTTATCGACAACATGGCATGGAAAGCACTAAACTGGAAATATTACAAAGAAATGCAATTTTTGAAACCTACTACAAAACACAGTAAGTTGAACATTTTGAATAACAAGCTATCGAATCTATTTAAACATTTTTATAATTTCTATCCTATAGGAAAAGTGTGAGAGATGTAACGAAACTTGTAATTTTTGTACAACATTCAGTAATATACAAATGGTGATGGATAGAAATAAAGAAACATGGAGGACAAGCTAAACAAGGCTCGTGACACACAATGCCAGGCAACAGGCAACAGGGAATAGAATTTCTGACGCGTTGGATCGGTTGGAATAAAATTTCCGACGAATCCAACGCGCCAAAATCCTATGGTAATCCTTTTTCAGTCGACGATACGTCAACTTGGAGTTATTAAATTGCTAAATATAGTCACCCAGTACATGTCTTATAGATATCTAAAAGAGGTTGACAAAATAGAATCTAAACGATCAGTAATATCTCAAAGATATTATTTATAGGATATATGGAACAGGTGCGGATAATAAAAGTTTATTATCTGAAATACGGATGTACGTTGCATCGAGTTAATCGTTGACTATATACAAATAATTTTAGATAATTATCAACTCGATACAACGTACATCCGTATTTCAGATAACAAACTTTATTTCCCGCGGCTCATCTCGTATAGATGTACACTCTATTTTGAAGAATCAAAATGTTTTCTTACAATTAACGATATTAAAAATCCACAAGTAATATTACATAAATAATTAACGACGACACGACTCGTGTGCTACACCTCGCAGTCGTCCAGTTGTGTAAACGCGACAGATGGATGCAACGCAATAATTTCAATAGTTGGGCGGTACGTAGCGTTACGTGGTTTACACTCTGTGCCGATTTCCAAGAGTCGCACTAAATCCGGACTGATGCCACGAAAAGATAAAATAGACTCTCAAATTAACTGCAGTGGTGAAAACTACATCGTAAGTGAAAAGACACGTCGCTCGATTTGCCCCTGGAAAAAGAGATTTCTTTGTAAACGACCGAGTAATCAGATGTGTAGATTGAACGTAGCTTAATATCAGAATTATATGGTATGGCTTCGTCAATTATAATAACATTTTTCCTTCGACAGATCCTGGATTCAAGCTCCTCGTTGCAAGGCGAGTTTCCTCAACATCCACCAACAATAATCCTCGTGTTGCACGTAAACGGTAAAAACGGCTGTGTTGCGTATAATTACATCTCAACTCGACAGATACACGGATTTATTAGCAAGAAATGAGATTCCTGCAAGACTCGCAGCTTCGGCAAGTAATTGCGTAGCATCGGCATACTAGAAAAATGAAAAAAGCAGGAAATTTCGCATTATATCATAGATGAAATATTTGCACGTTTCAGGTTACATTTCTAGCTTCTTACCTTTCCACATTCAAAATAGATGTCTGCTAAACTTATCTCCAAAAGGTAGCGATGGATTTGCCCCTGGAAAAGAGATTTCTTTGTAAATGACCGAATAACTTGGTGTGTACATTGGACGTAGCTTAATATCAGAATTAAATGGAATGGCTTCGTCGATTATAATTACATTTTTCCTTCAACAGATCCTGATTCAAGCCTCTCGTTGCGAAGTGAGTTTCCTCAACGTGAGAACGATAATCCTCGTGTTGCACGTTATAAAAATGACTGTGTTGCGTATAATAACATGTCAACTCGACGGATACACGGATTTATTAGCAAGAAATGAGATTCCTGCAAGACTCGTAGCTTCGGCAAGTAATTGCGTAGCATCGGCCTACTAGAAAAATGAAAAAAACAGGAAAGTTCGCATTATATGTTAGATAAAATATTTGCACGTTTCAGGTTACACTTCTAGCTTCTTACCTTTCCACATTCAAAATAGACGTCTGCCAAATTTATTCAAAAGGTAGCAATGGATTTGCCCCTGGGAAAAGAGATTTGTTTGTAAATGGTCGAGTAATTTTACGTGTAGATTGAACGTAGCTTAATATTAGAATTAAATGGAATGGCTTCGTCAATTATAATTACATTTTTCCTTCGACAGATCCTGATTCGAGCTCCTCGTGTTGCATGTTATAAAAATGGCTGTGTTGCGTATAATAACATGTCAAGTCGATGGATACACGGATTTATTAGCAAGAAATTAGATTCTTGCAAGTCTGGTAGCTTCGGCAAGTAATAGCGTAGCATCGGCATACTAGAAAAATGAAAAAACAGAAAATTTTGCATACACGTTATATCATAGATAAAATATTTGCACGTTTCAGATTACATTTCTAGTTTTTTACCTTTCCACATTCAAAATAGACGTCTGCTGAACTTATCCAAAAGGTAGCGATGGATTTGCCCCTGGGAAAAGAGATTTCTTTGTAAATGGTCGAGTAATTTTACGTGTAGATTGAACGTAGCTTATTAGAATTAAATGGAACGGCTTCGTCGATTATAATTACATTTTTCCTTCAACAGATCCTGATTCGAGTCCTCCTCGTGTTGCATGTTATAAAAATGGCTGTGTTGCGTACAATAACATGTCAACTCGACGGATACACGGATTTGTTAGCAAGAAATTACATTCCTGCAAGACTGGTAGCTTCGGCAAGTAATTGCTTAGCATCGGCATACTAGAAAAATGAAAAAAACAGGAAATTTCGCATTATATGTTAGATGAAATATTTGCACGGTTCAGGTTACACTTCTAGCTTCTTACCTTTCCAAATTCGAAATAGACGTCTGCTAAATTTATCCAAAAGGTAGCGATGGATTTGCCCCTGGAAAAAGATTTCTTTGTAAATGACCGAGTAATTTTACGTGTAGATTGAACGTAGCTTAATATTAAGAATTAAATGGAATAATTACATTTTTCCTTCAACAGATCCTGGATTCGAGCCCTCCTCGTTGCGAGGCGAGTTTCCTCAACGTGAGAACGATAATCCTCGTGTTGCACGTTATAAAACTGGCTGTGTTGCGTAGAATAACATCTCAACTCGACAGATACACGGATTTATTAGCAAGAAATTAGTAATCGCTTAGCATCGGCATACTAGAAAAATGAAAAAGCAGGAAATTTCGCATTATATCATAGATGAAATATTTGCACGTTTCAGGTTACATTTCTACTTTCTTACCTTTCCACATTCAAAATAGACGTCTGCCAAACTTATCTCCAAAAGGTAGCGATAGATTTGCCCCTGGAAAAAGAGATTTCTTTGTAAATGGTCGAGTAATTTTACGTGTAGATTGAACGTAGCTTAATATTAGAATTAAATGGAATAATTACATTTTTCCTTCAACAGATCCTGGATTCGAGCCCTCCTCGTTGCGAGGCGAGTTTCGTCAACGTGAGAACGATAATCCTCGTGTTGCACGTTATAAAAATGACTGTGTTGCGTATAATAACACCTCAACTCGACGGATTTATTAGCAAGGATGTTGTTCGGGCCCGGGCTCGCGGGACGCGGCGCGAGCGCGGTACTTGGGGAAAACGGTCGCTGTCGATCAGCTGCGCGGCGATCACGCCGCGACCGCGTGCGGAACGCGTGTAGTCGCAACAGCTGAT